TTTAATCCAAGGGTCCAGGGTTCAAGTCCCTGCTCGGGCGTCTTTCGTGTTTTTTTTTATTGCTAATTTTTTATTTTTTTTTATTTTTTGCTTTCTCTTTTAGAAATTTCTATTCATCGTCAGCATGGAAACAAACGCTTGGTTTCCTTTAACAGTTCTCTTTTGGCTGCTATTATGCTATCACAAGCTATGTATATGTATCAATGCTCAGGTAATTAAGTTTTAAAGATTTTTTATTTTTCTTTGTTTTTGTTTTTCTTTTTGTTTTCGCTTGCTTTCAGTTAAAATATGTTGAATAATTCGGTATGTTAAGAATTCTTAGTTAGAGATATGCGTTCTGACGTCGAATTTTGTACGTGAGAAAACGACATTTTTCCTTAGAACTTGTTCTCATAGATGTATGTAAATAATTCACACAATATATATTTACATGATTTGATAAATTCTCTTAACAAGTTTTATTTAGCATATCAATTACTACCTCATACCGTAATCTTGTTAATACAAACGCTACGCTATCAGTAGTGAAACTATTTAATTAACTTTTTCACTCCTTCGTTAATAAATCATAATTAAATGTAAAAGAACTAAAAGGTCAACTGAATACATTTGAAAGCCTAAAACGTTTGCCATAGGTGTGTATGCTCTTATGAGTAAGGTGCATGGAACGTTGATTTTGAAACACGCTTAGCATTACTTGTCTAAAGTAGGATTTTCAAAGCTATTAAATTACGAGCTGATTTTTAATCAAAAGATAAGACGGAATTATGAGTACTAGAGTAGATAGTAGATAGAGTTAAATGTTTTTCACAAATTGTCTTAGGCGGCTATCAAAGTGGATAAGTCACACATTTATACACACAGTGGATAAGTCACACATTTACACACAATTATAATAAGGAAGTTGACTGCGTAAACAATATAAGGACCACCTTCTACACAAATAAAGCTCTGGCCAAGGGTAAAAGATCTACTGTCGAGTGCTTCAAAATTCACTTTATACGCCTTCGGATGCCGTAGGCTTGAGTCTACTTTGAATACATTGCATAAAATGGAAATGCGTAAGACTAGCAAAGGCCTACAGGTCTTTTATAGAATAAGTCCTTTTTATCGTTGCTGTAAGGTTAGTATACAAATTTTCAAATTTCTCGGACGTCGAAAAATATGCCATATGGTAAGATTGGTGAACGATTGCAAACTAAGCATTATAAATTTTTGCTGCTCTCGACATATAGGCCATATCTCATGGAGTGGAGTATATATGTAGTCCTTATATACTCCACATCCCAAAAAAAAAAAAATAAGTTATTGAAAACAAATGCTTAATAGCCGTACTTTTCAGTTAAGAAAAGAAGTTGTAGATAAGGACACCATGGGCAAAGTTCCTACTTGAGATCATTTATTGCATTCATTTTTGTAAGAAAAACCGTGTTACCTTGAGATAGACCATTTAGCTTCTTTCACGAATTTCCTCTGTTGAAACATTGCATACACTTGCAGAACCGTTTTTAGACCTATAACTGGGACTTTAGGTATGTTTTAGTGGCTTTTGTTGTGTTTTACTTGGTCTGTAAATAGTTGCTTAGACTCATTTCGACAAATAATGTTCAAGAAAAACATCGTCTACTAGTTGACCTTTTATTTTTATCATTATTATTAAAAACCAATTTTCACAACCATTTTGCATACAAAAGACTTGTATATTGTTCCACACAGAAGGAGATCAAAATTCATTATATATATATTTTTTTTCATTCTTGTGACTCCAATATGCGCTGTTGGCAACTTGACTGGCACTGTTATATCGGCTATGCCCACACAAACTTGTTGGTTTAAGTTAAATTTTCTTGTTTTCCCCATTTTTAATTTATTATGCTTATTAATCATACAGGGCAGAATATTTAAAACTATTTTTTACCTTCTTCAAGTGAAGATATTTTGTCTGCCTAAAAATGCGTTAATTCTAAAAAAAATATGATGGACACCACGATTTGGCGGATTAATTTTTTCTTAACAATACCATCGATATGGGTATCAAATAAAAAGACTTGGAAAGTAGAATGCGACATACTAAGTACGTTAGTTCTGTATTAATTATGGTCGATGTGACTTTTAGTCAATTAAAAGGTGAAAGATAAACTTCATGCCATTCCGTTCTTTATAATCATACATAAAAGCATAGGACGGTAAAAATTTTAATGGTGGTGAGTATGCGAGTTTTGGCCCTGGACGAATATAGTTTTTTCAAAGACTTGCAGTATAAATTATTTAATATATTAATATGTTCAAAACCATTTAACTTTTCATGTAAAAAAGGAATCTACAGCAAACAAATTGTGTAGCAGGTGCATAAAGGAATTTTTTTTTTTTTTTTGGAACTTATGTGCAAGAAAAAGAGATTAATTAGTTAGTAAATCATTGCCAAAATGAATTAAGTTTGCAGTTGACATTCACCAACCAAACTCTTTGCTGCGCATATAAAACAATGTAAAATACTTTGAACATCGCATAATTTTTAAAAGAGTGTGAAAAACTAAAGAGATTTCAATAATAAACGTTTTCGTAAAAGAAAGGCTTACGGATCTAATTATCACGATATATGGGCAATGACCGCTTAAGTCAAACCTAAACTGACGTTTTAAACTAATGCGTAAACAAAAATTTTCAAAACTCGTGTATTTGGAGGAAAGAAGGGCTATGGTGTGGAAGTCACTAAGTGAATGTGCCTATATGTAGATTTCATAACATTTCTACTACGCAAGCTTATGAAGTACTTTGTGGAGAACTTTTACTAAATGGCGAATGATTTGCTTTCGCTGCTACATGGTTCAGCATTTTCATGTCAATCAAAACAGAGACTCCACATAGAAGCTTGTAAGATCCCTTGACAAGTATCGGAAGGTAACGTAAGCAGCTTCTTTAAAAGGCGTTGCAAAGCATATTTGGCCTTTTAGCACAGTAATAAATGTAACTTCCGCTTGGATAACTTACGACAAGAAGCGATAGAAGGCAGCTAAAATGTACCTAAAAGATAAGAGTCAGCGCTGTGTTTAAAATTCCGACATCTTAAAGCTTCTGTTGATATCTTTTAGAACTGTTCAGAATGAGTCTTAAGCACCAAAATTTTGCCGCGGAGTTTGCTTCCATCAAGGCTACAGATCGCTCTGTGTGTTTAACGTCTGCACCTGGCTTGATGCCTTAATCAGACGGGTTGCCTACAACCATAGGCACTCAATTGAGTTGAGTGATCACCCACGGGGGGAAAGACAATTCCCTAATAAGCGGGCCTTTCTTACCCCGAGGTGCGCAGATGGTTCACCGTGTATGGCCGTATGAACATCAAGGCTACAGTACATCGTTCGTTTTATATTCATAAGCGCAAAGCATTTTCTTATAATTTTCGATACAAAAATTATCTTTACGATTTCCTAATATTATTATTATTCTTATTATTATTAATTTCGCCAGAGAAATAAATTCTAAGACTAAACTCTTAAAAGCACTAGCATCTAAGGCTATCGGCTTTGATTTCCTAATAAGCCTAGTAATATCTTTTATTTTATAAGAAAATAACGGCGAATATTTTTCACGTCTTGCGATTGGTGGTGAGTCAACTTTCTTAGTATCTTATTCAGTAATAGGCAACGGTATATTTGTTTTATCTGTTGTTAATGAGCGTAATATTAAGAAACTAAAATTTTATAAAATTTTTTCTTAATATCACTTTGCTTATAATTAAAAGAAATTGCTTAATCGGTAAAAAAAGGGTATAATTCAATCAAACATTCCTCAGCTCATTAGAGAGTCATGTTATTTACACTGACATGTACATACGTAAATTTTTTATTAATTCGGTGTTCAGTCAACTGTGGTCTTACATGAGAACAAATGTTAATTTTTTTTTCATATGAAAATATCTATAAAAATTTCTCATTTGCCGATCTTTACATGCACAATTGTCTACAGATTCATGTATATATGTAAAGTATATATGTAAAGTTCAACAAAATTTGTGTTAAGGTCGTTGGTTATATTAACAAAAGAAACCTTAAAAATTTTTGCATATATAGTTTGTTATTATTATTATTTTCAGTATTTGTTGTTGTTATTCTTTTTCTTTTTTTTTTTTACTTTCCTAATGTAATTGATTTATTTTAGTCTAAAATAATAAATTAAAAGTTTCTACGCGGGAAATAAAAAATTTATTCTCCTTCTCTCGTACACATCTAGAGTGGAAAAAAAGAACAAAACAAAATTGAATTGTCTAGAGTTTTGTCGAGACATACACAAGACCTGACATAGCGTTCATTAATTTTTTAATGGAACATATATTAATTGTGCTTTCATATGGCGCATTTGTTTTTGTTTTGTTTTTTTTTTTTTAATATAATTATCACTCAGATACGTTAAGATAAACAGGTAACTCATTTATAACGAGCATTAATTCCAACGTCTCATTAGTGAGGTGGGCACCTAGAGACAAGGTGAGATGCAGGAGAATGAACAACCCGTAAACGAAAAAGTAAATTATGCGATTAGTTAAGAAGCGGATTAGCTGCACTGCGCTATTCCTACGTTTACTTATACTCGCTTAGATCTCTGAGAATATTGTAAATTATTTTCTTATGACAGTGTTGATTAACTTTTTATAATTTGCATAATTCAATGAAGTGAATGTGCGGATGTATGAAAGACCTAGAAGGATTTGTGAGAGACTGTCCTCATAAACATGTCTAGGCGTCGTCCTCTCTATTGGAAGACTATCTATATGTACAGTCCATAAGTTGTGAAAATTTGTTGCGGAAATTTTTTCCAAACTAATTGACATGGATCGTTTCTACGGTCACTCCTCCTTAACATTTCTCGGCAAAAATCGTTGAACAATTTCTTTGACTTACTGAGCGAATATAGAAAATTTGAGTTAAATGAGGCCATATTTTGAATGCTTCTCATACAAAAAGGAGCCCTTTTTAGTGCAACAAAGCTTAATTTTTAGTAATAAATGATCGAAAATAGTGACTTTACATATAAATTAACTACGCTAAATATGAACAAAGCAGATCCACTTTTCGAAACCTTTGACTCGGAGGCCTTTCTATGATAGTTAATTATGATTTGTTATATTTTGTGACGAAAATAAGTAAAAAATTGTATTTGGCAAAAAAATAATGCTTTAACTTTATATTGCAAGTCGATATAAAACACACATAT